ACTCATTGGAGTGTTGCTATCAGAGGATTGGAGAAAGTTGCTATCAGACGATTTTAAAGCAAAACATCACAGGAGAAGCTCAGAACTTCCTGTGAAAATGTGAGCTACCCTTCCCACCCCTTGCTCTTAAAGAAGTTATCCAAGGGGAAGAAGAGAAGGAATGTTCAGGTTTAGAAATAAGGGCACACATCCAGCCATATAGGTACACATCAGCCCCTCAAGTTCAGGTTTCTAACTTCCAAAGCCCCCTGACTATGGGATAAGTGACTTCCTCACTCTGGGTTAGAGAACACACTAGAAAAAAATCCCTGGGCCTTAAATCTGAACCATGACTACTGAATTTTTATCCAGTTGGGAAGCCAGATCCTAAACAAGAGATCAGTAATATCTCATATATTTGCCCCTGGAATCTAGCAGCCGTTTCCCTGGTGGCTCAGACGGTAAAGAATCTGCCTGCAATGCAGGAGACCTGGGTTTGATCCCTGGGTTGGGAAGATACCCTGGAGAAGGGAATAGCAACCCACTCCAGCATTTGTGCCTGGAGAATTCCATGGACAGAGGAGCCTGGCGGGCTATGGCCCATGGGGTTATGAAGAGTTGGACACGACTGAATGACTATTTATTATTATTATCTAGCAGCCACTGAAGACATCTTTAATATCCAGAGCACCCCTTGGGAGTGGAGACTAAGAAGAGAAATATATCCACATGTTCCAGTTCTTGTGGACATGGGCACTTTTTGGTGGAATGTGCTTGTGAGAAGAGGAAAACACAGCAACTCACTCCAGTATTCTTGCCTGGAAAATTCCCTTGAACAGAGGAGCCTGGCAGGCTATAATCCATAGCGTCACAAAGAGTCGGACATGACTGAGCAACTTAGCATGCACACTTTTTAGAACTGTCCTCCAGAAATTAAGATCCAGAGACAAGAGAAAGATCTCAGTGTCAAGCTCTCCTGACCCCATAAACAAAAAATCTTGGTAGATACCACACCCCTGCCTTCCCTTCTTGGTTAGCCTCCACCTGGTATTAAAATAGTTGGAGGGCTCTCCATAGTCATGAGGCTCCAATGGTCAGCCCTGACTTAAGGGTGAACAAATGTGATCAAAGTCCTACATTGAGAATCCTGCCTGCTTTATGGTAACCCTAGAACTCCTGTACTACTGAATTTAAACTACAGACAGTGGGGTGGGATGAGGCTACCTAACTAGATCCAGAAATCCAATAGGCATTATCAGCAATGGAGCTTTAGAGGAAAACTTCCAGCAACAATTTAGGAAATTGATAACTAGCCTATGAGTTGGAGGTTGTTCAACTACTTTAAGTAAAATACCACTGTACTGTAACACTGCTGTGTTTAAGTAAATACTATATTAAATACCAGAGAAGGCGATGGCACCCCACCCCAGTACTCTTGCCTGGAAAATCCCATGGACGGAGGAGCCTAGTGGGCTGCAGTCCATGGGGTGGCTACAAGTCAGACACAAATGAGCGACTTCACTTTCGCTTTTCATTTTCATGCACCGGAGGAGGAAATGGCAACCCACTCCAGGGTTCTTGCCTGGAGAATTCCAGGGACGGTGGAGCCTGGTGGGCTGCTGTCTATGGGGTCACACAGAGTGGGACATGACTGAAGTGATTTAGCAGCAGCAGCAGCATATTTCATACCAGACTGTATTTAATAACATATTTAAATACTGTACTTAACACTGTATTTAAATAAAATACTGCTATACTGTAAAATACCTTCTGACCCCAACTGACCACTTCCCAACCCCAGCATCAGCCACCCTTCCTTCAGAAATCATGTAGCAAAACATAAAGAGACTGCAAATATTTTTCTTGAGGAAATACAAAATGAGACGGAGGCTGTAGTCACCAAAAGTCTTAGAAAGGGAGAGCTGTCTTTATTAGAAAAATCTTCAAAAGGACATATGCACCCAATGTTCATTGCACCATTGTTTATGAAAGCAACCCAAGCATCCACCAAGAGATGAATGAATAAAGAAGATGTGGCATATGTATACAATGGAATATTACTCAGCCATAAAAGAATGAAATTTTGCCATTGTGATAACATGGATGGACCTGGAGGGAACAATACCTAGTGAAATAATTCATACAGGGAGAGAATAAAACTATCTCTTCAGTGATATGTAAAAATCTAAAAAATAAAACAAATGAACAATTGTAACGTAACAGAAACAGACTGACAGAAACAGAGAACAAACCGGTCATTACCAGAGGTGGGAGTGGTGGAAAGATAAGAGGTCCAAACTACTAGATATAAAATTAGTAAGTTACAAGGATGCAATATACAACACTGGGAATATAATCAATATTTTATAATAACTTTGTATGGAGTATAATCTTATCAAATTATTATGATACACACTGGAAACTAATAAAATATTGTAAATCAACTATACTTCAATAATAAAAACATTCTTTGATAATTGTTTGGGAGTAGTAACTGACACCTGAGGGATACAGATTTTGGTGAATTAGCTGCAGGTGGCAAGATGGTTTTATTGGTCACTCAACAGGAGGAGGAGAAAGAGGAGAGAGGCAAGTTACAAGGTGGGATGAAAGCAACAAATGCAAGCTCTCTGCTAGGCCAATCACCTGGGGGCAGGAGGAGGCTTTAAAAAGCATTAAAACTCAATGGGAAAAATATTTGCAAATAATGTGACCAACAAGGGGTTAATATCCAAAATATATAAATAGCTCATACTACTCCATATTAAAAAAAAAGCAACAACAAAAACAACCCAATCATAAAATGGGCAGAAGAGCCAGATAGACATTTTTCTGAAGAAAGACATACAGATGGCTAACAATCACAGGAAAAGATGCTCAACATCACTGATTATTAAAGAAACACAAATCCTGCTTCCCATTCCTTCCCTGTACATATCCTCTCTTAACATATTCTACTTCTTTATATGTTGAGCTGAAAACTACATTGAAGTCAAGGGCCTAAGCTTCATTTATGGATATTTAGAAGTGAGTCCTTTGTGTTTGGTACATGATGTTCATTGAATAAATGAGCAAATGATTATATCCTTACTTTAAAGATAAGGAAAATAAGGTTTAGAATGGTTAAGTCACTTCTAAGGACACACACTAGTAAGCTAAAGAGGTAAGATACTAACTCAAAAGTATGCCGACCTACTCCTTTGTTTTCCTCATCACTACTGCAATCTCTCCCTACAATGTTCTATCTTGTCCCACATTTTCTACTATTCATATTATATACATTGTGAATCTGTTCAAATCTTGGCCATTCAATGAACTCTTCCAGATGACTCCTATTCACAGTAATTTCTCCCTTTTTTATATGGATGTTTCCTGAAATAGCTCTCATGGTAAATGGGGGAGGTGATGAGACAAGGTATGTGACCTTGGAGAACAGCCCATCCACTTTTGTTCCACACTCCATGTTTCTCAGGTTCTTGGTGCAAAGGCCTATCTATTTTTGCAGGTAATGCACCTTTCATTGGTTCCCAACCTCAGGTAATAGTCTCTCATGATCTTTACATCTCTCCTAAAGATTTATATGGCTGGTGATGGATGCAATTGTTTCCTTAATTTGACTGAGCTGAGCTTCCAAAAGAAGCTGCAGAAGCAACCAAGTCTAGATAATCCACATCCCCACCCTGGGATCAGCACTCAGGACACATAAAGCTCTTCATCTCTGCTTGAGCTGAAAGTTAAGGGCTTCAACCTTCTCAAATGTGACTCTTTCAAGGTTGCTTCCTGAGAAGCAAAAGCTTTTTCCTATTATCCATTTCCCCATGTTACATCAAAAATAGAGACTTTTCATTGGCCCAATGTCTCCCTTTTTAAATACAGGCGCATATACAAATATCAGAAATAACAATTTTTATTTGCAATGGCTCTTGAAAAGTAATGTTAAAAAGATACTCACAGGTGAAAAATGCACTTGTTACTTGTTCTCATTTCCTCGGTTCTTAAGCTGAAATAGTTACAATCAGAACCTGCAAAAGCCACAACAAATTCTCCTCTGATGTCTTTTGTACTTAAAATCTTCAATAGATACTCAAGCATCTTAGTAACAATGTGCCACCCTAGTTTGCAACTACACTACAACACGTAGTCCTTAATTGTGCCTACATAATGTTGGGATATCTACAATTTGGGAGGCAGTAGTGAATTAAAAGGACGACCTGTGTTCAAACCCCACTGCCATCATTTCTCAGCTGTGCGAAATTCAGCTCCTTAACGTCTCGGTCTCATTTCCCTCATTTTACAATGGGATACTTTTACTTCATAAAGTTGTTGTATTTAAAAATAAAAATAGTAACTAATAAATGATAATAGTTATTTGGGGGTTTATTATGCCCCGGGCATTTCAATGAGCATTTTACATCCATTTCATCTGTCAAATCTGAAGAAACTAACACTCCGAGCACAGGTCTTCATACATTGCAGATGACCCGAAATACACTGAAGGAATGCTCAAAGAAGCTAAAAGAGCCCGCTGCTAGCAGGATGTTAGCAGAGCCGAGAGTGAAGCCCAGGTCCCTGACCCCTGCGCTATAGTCTGACGACGTGCAGAGTACTCAGGACAGTGGAGGCACAGAAAGTTCTGACTCAGGGCGTTTTATCACCGGCCCTTTTCTCTCGCATTAGAGAGGACTAGAAGAGTGGGCTTTGAACACGGGCTCATCAGCTTCCAGTAGAACCTTGAGCCCACCGGTCAAGACTATGTGGTTTTCCTAGTCAAGCACTGAACTGAAACGGAAAATACACCCTTCTTTACTCTCTTTACTTTACTCTTCGCCCGACAACTTCAGTGCCTGGCGAGCAGCGACGGAGTCGGAAACATCGCTGGATCCGCATTTCACGCTGAAGACTTCCAGGAAAGCCCAAGCGACTGCGGCCCTGGGCTGGTGGGGAGCCTGTTTCCAGTCGGACCGCGTCCGGAGGCTCTCCCGAGTCCCGCGCTTGCGCACTCAGCCCATCGCCGAGCCGGCCCGGAGGACGTGCGCACGCTGCCTTTGCGGCTCCTGGCCCCGAGATGCGCGGCTCCCGGGCCCGTGCCAGCTGCAGGTGCGTGAGGAAGAATTCAGGAATTCAGGTGTGAGGTGGAGCGACCCACGGGAAAGGTCGGGCCTGCCTCAGTCCCTCCAAGGTGCCCGGGGACCCAGAATGGGGGAACCAGGAACTCAGCTCATTTGATTTTCTCGTTTCCCCAACTCCTGACTTCGTCTCCTGGGGAGCAGAAATCTCTGAAAGGAAAATGCAAAAAGCATACTTTACCCTGCAGTGAATCGTATCACGTGTGGCATTCCCTCCCCCTGCCCCACCGTGGCCAAAGCAGTTTTCACCCTTGGCTTGCCTTTCCTGCTGTGGCGTTTTGCAGTCTCTGGACTCTCGTTCGACTCCTAGGTGCTTACTGGTTGTGGACGATTAAGGCGAGGGCCAGTTGTGAGGGCCCTGTGTCCTGTGCACCGCCCCCCGCCAACCCCCTTAGGAGGAAGAGGTGATGGTTCAAGGGCAAGAGAGTGGGCCAAGGGAACTAGAGCAGAAGCTACAAAGAGTGAAAGGCTGTGATAAATGTCGCCGAAGATTATTCCCTAACTGAAAGTTCTATAAAATTTTCTCAGTTCTTGTGTTTCTTGTTCAATGATTTTTATGATGTCCTCACTTCCTTTTAATGGTGTTGTTTGAGACTGGAAAGGCGATAAGTAGGCTTTCAGCCTTAAAGTTTCGTTGGAATTTTTTGAGATCAGTTTTTTCAGTCTTCCACCTGTAGGAGTATTTGGCTGTTGTCAGGATAATCTTGGGGTTGAACCATTGAGATTTGCCGTTTTTTTATTTTTACTTGAGCGTAGGAAAAATTACACAATGTTGGTTTGTTTTTTAAAATATTATCGACCAAAACAAAAAAAAAATCAGTTGAGAACACAAGATCCAGTTGAAGTGGGATTTGGAGTTCTATCAAATTAACGTACATGTGCTTAAGTACACGTGGGACTGCACTTAGAGCTTGGGGATCCCTGAGCTGTCACTTATAAATAGCAGATGAGATCACTGCTTGCCACCAGTGATTCTAACAATATAGAGCTTCCAGTCAGTGCTTTCCCACATGGTGTGGACGAAAGTGACAGTAGTACCCAGTCTTAGGGCTAGTGTTATGTGATAATCCATGGTCTCTTTTTGGCACAGTAACTGTAGGTAGTCAATTCCTGTTATAATCAGAAATGGTTGTCATCTGTGTAGTTCTAGCTGGCATTTTTTGTCAGTGTTCCAAAGAAACTGTTAAAGGAAAGAAATAGACAATAGGCGTGGAGAAACCTGGCTTCAGGCCAAAGTACTATGTGTGATCTTTCAGGCCCAACGGTAGAAAATTGCATGGCTTTGCCTGGCCAGCCTCATCAGGGGAAGCTGCTCTCGCAACACTAGACCTTGTGCGCTGCGGTTTTGTGGAGGGAGTTGCGGTCGAGGACTCACCAGTTCCCTCCCACTAGCCATGCTCATATTCTGCATTCCTGGTTCAGGTACCTCCTTTCTGAGGCCCAGGTGCTTCCCAATTGCCTCCACCCATACCTCCTTATTGCAGAGGGAGGGAATGTGGAAGGGGCAGCCTTGGCTGAGGTACTTTCTCCATTTTGACTCAGGATCTTTCTACTTGTAGCCCTTCCTTCCTCCACCCTTGGCTCACAGGTCCATAAAGAGCCAGTAGCCTTTTTTTTCAGCCTCCTCCCCTGGGATATGACTGTGTGCACTGCATCTACCTAACCCTAACCTAGTGTTCTGTTTAATTGACCACTGGGTGACCAGTACTTTTTCAGCCTCTTGCTTGCACTGTTGCATAAGTGAATAAAGATTTGTTAATTACTTGCAGTTTGGCTCATTGTCCTAATTGACACCTCAATACCTGATTACCTGACAGGAATTAAATAAGTTGCCAAATTTTGGCCAATTCACCTAATTGTAATCTTCATAACTGCTGCTGTGTTAGCACGTTAGGGATATGGAGGCTGTTCACCTGTAATTTCTCTTAACTCAGTGTTGTGAAAATGCATACTAATAGTACCAACAGCTGATTGTTGCTAACATGGATATCTGGGTTATAGTGTGTATTTTATAAATTTATAATGGAGTGGCTTGCAGTCAGACTATTTTGTGTGCCATATTACCTTTGACCTCTAATTAAATTTTTTGGTAATATTTTGGGGTTATTTGGGTCAATTGAAGAAAATTAGTAATCCTTAGAAACTCCTGTCTTGTCCTATGGGCCCCAGTCTTACCTAATGGATTACTTGGCCACTTTTGGATAAAGTGATTGATTTGTTGTGGGTTCCTCTGTCTCCTGTGTGAAGAAATATGCAACGGAACAGGTTTCACAAAGTTTATCTCTTCCTATAGAAGTTTCACAAAACACTGTCCTTATCATATGTTATGTAATCTGATATTTTATAACCTATTTTATTAAACAAAAATGCAGATCATGACCCATTAAGTTTATTTCACAATCCATTAATGGATAGTGACTTGGAGATTGAAGAACACTGTGATAAAACAACTAGAAGAAGATAATTTGCTCAATAAATGATTTTTTTCCTATTTTTACATCATTGCTGAAGAGCACTACAGTGGGTGTGTTTGAGATTTTGTGTTTAAGGTGTTTTCTAGACATCTTAAACACAAAAACAGATAATAGCATATAGCACATATGCCAGATGGTCACTAAAAGTGAAAGTGAAAGTTGCTTGGTCGTGTCAGACCCTTTGTGGCCCCATGGACTGTAGCTCACCAAGCTCCTCTGTCCATGGAATTCTCCAGCAAAAATACTGGAGTAGGGTGCTGTTCCCTTCTCCAGGGGATCTTCCCAACCCAAGGATCAAACCCAAGTCTCCCACATTGCAGGCAGATTCTTTACTATCTGAGCCACCGGGGAAGCTCAGATATTCCCCTAAATCAGCTGACAAAAAAAAAAAGTGAGTCTCTTATCTCAACTTTTAGGATGAGAGAGCTGGAACACCTTTTTATAATCTCTGACTTCCTTATTTAAAGAAAAGGGATTAGTAGAAGAAGGATGAGAAGAAAATTGGCTTTTCAGATGGAATATATGGTATAAAATGGTTGTGAAAGTTCCTCACAAGCTTTTGCATGTGTCCCACAGAGGCATATTAGGGAAAGTGTTTTTATCTTTTTAATAACTCTTAAGATAAAAATGAACTATTAATTATATTGCCTGAAAGTGAACTGTACTCAACCTGCTATTACTGAGCCATAGATAAATATGTAGATAGCCACTGTGTCAACCTTATTGCCTCTATACTTGTCTTTTAGGACTTCTTCAATGAAGTGGAAAGGAGAAATAAAAAGAACTATACATTTAGTGTGTTTATCTCTTAGTTAGAAACCCTAAAAATATTAAATAGATTAAGTTTTCAAGTTTGATTAGTGTTGAGCTAAATAATACCTTACATTTATATACTGCTTTAGTTTTCCAACACCTTCAGATGCATCATCTCCATTGATTTCTCACAACACCTTGGTTGTGGTAGGCAGGCCAGGAGGCACTTTCCCTGACATAGAGCTGAGGAGTCTATATATTTCCTTCTTGCCACCAAGATCATATGGTAGCAAATCCAGGACTAAAATTCAGGTTTCCTGGAACATTTTCTTCCAGTTGTGTTATCTTTGTTGGTCCAAAGAAGTAATTTAGTGTAAATATACTAACAATGTGGCTAAGAATTTTGATAACTGAAACATTCCATTCTCAGATCATATCCAAGGAGTGCTATAATTGGATGCAGATATGTCTTGTCTTGTTTTTAGTATTATATTTCTTACAGTTTTTACCTTTCTAGTCCAGTTTTTTAAAATGGCAAGTCTACTTAATAGTGAACTAAGAAAATTGGAATTAAAAGGTCTATTTAATATTCAGAAATCCAACTCAGTGTCTTTAATGTATTATCTCAACTAATTAGAAATACAGCTTAAAATTATATACATTTTAAAGTATTTCTTTTGAAGACTCCTTATTTCTCTATATATGTGAAATTAGTTTAATGATTCTAAAGTATCTAAAATGGTTATTAACTTAATGTTAAACACAGGAAAAGTTCAGGTTCCCTATTTCCTTTAATATCTTTAGCCAAAGGACATTTTAAATTATCTCTTTTCACATGAATAATTAATTTTAAATTAATACATTTTTATTTTTAATTTTTAGACATCTGTGGATTTTAAGAACACTATGGAGCTCATCAGAGTTTATCACTGAAGAATATGATGGCTGAAAACAATTTTAAAATGCTAAAGATTCAGCAGTGTGTAGCAGCCAACAAGCTACCCAGAAACAGGCCATATATTTGCAATATTTGCTTCAAGCATTTTGAAACACCATCAAAATTAGCTAGGCATTATCTCATTCATACTGGTCAGAAGCCATTTGAATGTGATGTGTGTCATAAAACCTTTAGGCAACTAGTTCACCTGGAAAGACATCAACTAACTCATAATCTGCCTTTTAAATGTAGTATTTGTCAACGCCACTTTAAGAATCTGAAGACATTTGTGAAGCACCAACAGCTTCACGATGAAACGTACCAGAATGATGTTAAGCAGGTCAGAAGACCGTTGGAGGCCAAGCAAGAAAAGCCAGTGTATGGAATGTATCATACTTTTACCCCAGAGGAGAGATGGGCATTACACCCATGCTCCAAGTCTGATCCTACATACAGCCCTTCAAAGAAAAAAAAGGATATTCATGCGTGTACAATCTGTGGCAAGATGTTTCCATCACAGTCAAAACTTGATAGGCATGCTCTCATTCATACTGGTCAGAGGCCTTTTAAATGTGTCCTGTGCAGTAAGTCTTTTCGACAGTCAACTCACTTAAAAATCCACCAACTCACACATTCAGAAGAAAGACCTTTTCAGTGTTGTTTCTGTCAAAAAGGATTTAAGATTCAAAGCAAACTTCTGAAGCATAAACAAATCCATACCAGGAATAAGACTTTTCAGACTCTTTCATTAAAGGTGAAGAGTTCAGAATCATGCTCCCTGCCTAATAAATTAAATGCAAAGCAGGATGGCTTTGAAAATGGTGATATAGGTAAATCTGAAGAGAATAATCAGCTTGATGTCCACTCTGTTTATATTGTCCCTTTTCAATGTCCTGAGTGTGAAGAATGTTTTGAATCAGAGCAGATTCTCAATGGACACAAGTGTTTTCCTGCCAGAAGTGGCAAAATTCCAAGCAAGCTCAAAAGAAGCTGCAACTATAAAACCATTGTTAAAAAAATCTTAGCTAAGCTTAAACGTGCTGGGGGTAAGAAATTAGATAATTTTCGATCTGATAAAAAAGTATTTAAAAACACTTTCATGAAAAATTGTGATCTTATTTCTGGTGAGCAGAGGCCTGAACAAACCCAGAGAACATGTCTGAGTTCTCTTGGCAAGCATGGAACATATAAGACAGTTGGCAATAAAAAGAAAACATTGACTTTGCCGTTTTCTTGGCAAAAGCACTGCCAGAGCCAACATATGGGGAAAAACGTAAAAGGTATTCTTACACCAGAAAGCATGTTAAGTATGGATAATCCTATGCATAAAAAAGACATATCTATCTATGGTTCATCAGGTGAGGAATTCTTTGAAAACTGTCAAGTGCTCCAGTGTGGCTTTTCAGTTCCAAGTGGAAACATACATACTGGACATAAGATGTGTCCTTGTGACAAATGTGAGAAAGTGTTTCCTTCTGTGTCTAAACTACAAAGACACTATTTAATTCATACTGGACAGAGGCCTTTTGGCTGCAATGTTTGTGGGAAGTCTTTTAGACAGTCAGCTCACTTGAAAAGACATAAACTAACTCATATTGATAAGCTTCCCTATAGAAAATCTCTTTGCCAAGTAGAATTGGAAAATTTGAACAAACTTTTCTTTCACCAGGGTGATAATGTTAGCTACAGTGCTTCCCAACAATGTCAGACTCTTGGTTTTCAAAAATACAAGGTCTCAGAGTCAGATCAAATGTCAGAAATAAAAGTTAAGGCAGAATCAGAGGACTTCATTCCTGGTGCCCCCTGTAGGAACAGAGAGCCCTGTCTGTCTAGCATACTTCTGGAATCAGAGCAGAGCCGTCATAGTCGTCACTGTAGTTATTCAGGGCGTGCCGAGAGGAATGATGGCCTTCTTTACCAATGCAGTGTGTGTTCTAAAAGTTTTAGATCCCCGTCTAAACTGGAAAGACACTATTTAATTCATGCAGGGCAGAAACCATTTGAATGCTCAGTTTGTGGCAAAACGTTCAGACAGGCTCCTCACTGGAAGAGACATCAACTTACTCACTTTAAGGAATGACCACAAGAGAAAATGGGTATCCTAAATTCAGTTATGAAACTGACAGAACCACTGATAGTTTGTGGTGTCTCTGGCGACCTTGTTCTTTAGCCTGTATCATTTAAAATGTATTTTTATCAAAAGGCCTGCATTAGATTGAATTATTTCATAAGCAGTTGCTTGTCCTGCATACAGAGAGGTAAGATACATAGACATTTAATACAGTGTTTTAGGAGCAGCTGAATTAATTTTTAGAGGGAAAAATATGATTTGATGTCAGAAAGCAAGCATTTTAACATATTTTGGCTGTATTGAAAATGTTGTAAATCTATGGCATGGTACAAATAATTCAGCCTAATTTTTGAAGGAATTATTCCTTAAGACATGATCTCTTTTTATATATACTCAAAAGACAGGCAAAAATTGGTTTTCAGCTGCAGCAGACAGCATGACTAGATTTCATTTATTTCATAGATTTTAGGTCTATGGTTCAAATTCCATCGGGAAATTTTTTTCTTAAAAGCTAAAAAATATAAAGCCAATAAAGGTGAAGGTAGATGAGAAAATAAAAACATTATTTTTGTTGGTCTTTTCCAAGCTTTTTTCTTAGGACTCTGGTAACTTCACATCCTGTTCTATGGGTGATTGGGTTTTTGTTTGTTTGTTTGTTTGTTTTGCTCAGCCTGCTGTTGTCTCCCTCCAAAATTTAAAAGGAAGAAAGAGCCTAGTATGTACCTCTGTACATTTACCATGTTTACTCATTAAATAGTGTTCAAGTGCCATAATGTTTTTGTTGATATGAATGTAGTGTCACCTTTTCAGAGGAATGAATGTAATTCATCTACATACTTTTTCATAATTGATAGCAGTAGACTTAAGGCTCACTTGTAGATTCCATCTCCACAAGACTTTTACTTTAGTAAATTTTCTTTTAATACCTCTTTAATTGAGTGATTCTATAACTTAACTAAATCTATTAAATTTAATCAAATGGCAGTGACTAGATCTAGTTTTTATTCCTGTTTTTTGCAAGGTTCTAATGCTAAACAATGTTATTTTGATCATTAATGAATTGTTATTTTAATTGTTAAAATAATCTTGTACAGAAATAAGATCTTTATGGAATTGAGAGTGTCATTCTAAACAGTTCTGTCATGATTTGAGAAATATTTAATCAAATTGTGAAAGAGTTATAATCACACATTGTCCTTCATATTTGCCATTTTAAATAAAAATCCTTCAGTCCGTTCAGTCGCTCAGTCATGTCCAACTCTTTGAGACCCCATGGACTGCAGCATGCCAGGCTTCCCTGTACATCACCAACTCCCAGAGCTTGCTCAAACTCATGTCCGTTGAGTCAGTGATGCCATCCAACCATCTCATCCTCTGTTATCCCCTTCTCCTGCCTTCAATGTCTCCCAGCATCAGGGTCTTATCTGTCACTGTTTCCATATCTATTTGCCATGAAGCTAATCTAAAAATCCTTAAGAATGACACTTCCTAGTAATAAGAGAAAATAGCCATAATCTTTCTAAGGTGAAAAGAATGGGTGGGTATTTATCCTAGCATACTCAGATATACTTGGTGATAGGCCCTCTATTAAAATAGACAAGTGAACAATTTTACATCCCACTGTAAGAACTCTCTTTGTGGGGCGTGGATAAAAAGTTGGTCTGCTGCTTTTTACAAGTGAATTTTGAGAAACTTGGGTTTGATTCACAGAGGTTAAACATAACAGGACATATAAAATCCCAACAATTTACAAGCATACAGGAGAGTCATGTTTTAAAGAGTGATTTCTTTATTCTTGAGATATGTTCCTCAAGTGCAAGTAAGATGCTGGTTTATAGAATTTGCTTTACACAAGAACATTTCTGTTAGGTAAAAGCAAAGGACAACTAGTTCATCTTTTCCGAGAATAAAAGTTCAAGATTTTTTCTTTAATATGTCTGAAATTATCTATTTGGGGATTTTCTTAAGCTATTTATGTAATTTTATTTGAACTTAATGATTTATATACTCCTTTCCCAGCCCTAACAGAATCCTAACAGTGTTGTGTTTGTGTGATTATTAGATTTTGTTTGCCCAGATGATACTACTATACATTTTTTTTTTTTTTGCCCACGCCTTTTTAAGCTGTTTCATATTGAAAGTTGGAATATTGTAAAAATTTTGTCAAAGATGTACTGTAGTGCTATTTGAAGTACCTTTAATTAAATACATTTATTATCACTACACTCTTCTTGTGGGAACTTTATCAGAATGAAAATAAACTGTCTACATCATGATAAGAAGATTAAACATTAGATGTTAAATGATTTGCTGCATGCTCAAACTGTTATTATTGTTGAATCAATTACTTCAGTTTTCTGAAAAAAATAAAGTTTTAAATATCTTTAAACAAAAGTAGAAGAATTTTTCCTTTGAACAGGAGCAGGCTGTAGCATGATTATTTATTTACTGAGATAGTTTGACTGAGTTAGTGGAATTATTGTTTTGTACTGCCATAGTTGTCTATAAGGAGCTTCCCTGGTGGCACGGTGGTAAAGAATCTGCCTGCCAATGCAGGAAATGTAAAAGACATGGGTTTGATCCCTGGGTTGGGAAGATCCCCTGGAGTAGTAAATGACAACCCACTCCCGTATCCTCTGGAAGGTTCCATGGACAGAAGAGCCTGGCAGGCTACAGTGCATGGGGTCACATCTGTGACTGAGCACACACACGGGGCCTATCAGGAGAAAATGTATGTGGAGGGAAAGATGAAGATTCTTGAAAAATTCAAATTTCAGAATATTTTTAAAGTTTGAAATTGTACAGTTTGGACTTTTTTTAAAAGGGAAGATCATATAGAATAGAAACAAGGTACTGATAGGCAAACACTCCTGGGCCCACTCCAATCTGCCTTTTCCACTGAACTTTCTAACATAGTTCATTGTTTGCTTCCTTCTTTATAGTAAGTTTCTTTGATAGCTTCTTATCACTTGCAAAAGGATATGTTAACTCCCTTCCACATCACATGATATCTTGTTCATTTATCCTCCTCACTGGCCTCCCTCTCCAGATTTGTACTGAAGGAACAAAGTTATTTCCTCCAATACATGTTCTTGTTACTCCTGATTCCATCTTACCTACATAAGAGCGGTGGCTGCATGGCACTGGAGCGGCAGGCGGCTGAGGAGATACCCCACGTCCAAGGTCAGAGAAACCCCAGTAAGACAGTAGGCGCTGAGAGAGGGCATCGGAGGGCAGGCAGACTGAAACCACAATCACAGAAAACTAACCACTCTAATCACATGGACCACAGCCTCGTTTAACTCAGGGAAACTATGAGCCATGCTGTGTAGGGCCACCCAGGACGGACTGGTCATGGTGGAGACTTCTGACAGGTTGTGGTCTGCTAGAGAAGGGCATGGCAAGCCACCTCCGTATTCTTGCCTTGAGAACCCCATGAACAGTATGAAAAGGCAAAAAGATAGGACACTGAAAGATGAAGTTCCCAGGTAGGAAGGTGCCCAGTGTGATACTGGCGATCTGTGGAGAAATAACTCCAGAAAGAATGAAGAGACGGAGCCAAAGCAAAAACAACACCCAGCTGTGGATGTGACTGGTGATGGAAGTAAGTCAGATGTGGTAAAGAGCAATATTGCATGGGAACCTGGAATGTTAGGTCAACCTTGATTCATGAATCAAGGCAAACTGGAAGTGGTCAAACAGGAGATGGCAAGTGTGAACATTGACATTTTAGGAATCAGCGAACTAAAATGAACTGGAATGGGTGAATTTGACTCAGATGGCCATTGTATCTACTACTGTGGGCAAGAATCCCTTAGAAGAAATGGAGTAGCCATCATAGTCAACAAGAGTCCAAAATGCAGTACTTGGATTCAATCTCAAAAATGACAGAATGATCTCTGTTCGTTTCCAAGGCAAACGCTTCAATATCATGGTAATCCAAGTCTATGCCCCGACCAGTAATGCTGAAGAGGCTGAAGCTGAATGGTTCTATGAAGACCTAGAAGACCTTTTAGAACTAACACCCAAAAAAGATGTTCTTTTCATTATAGGGGACTGAAATGCAAAAGTAGGAAGTCAAGAAACACCTGGAGTAACAGGCAAATTTGGCCTTGGAGTATGGAATGAAGCAGGGCAAAGGCTAATAGAGTTTTGCCAAGAGAATGCACTGGTCATAGCAAACACCCTTTTCCAACAACACAAGAGAAGACTCTACACATGGACATCACCAGATGGTCAACACCGAAATCAGA